GTTCAATGTCCACATTTAGGTTTTTTTTCTTAGTTTTTAGGGGGTTAAAAAAAAACACTTGAAAAGAACCCAACGGGACGACAGGTCACTAGGCTAAGCAGCTTGGCAACGCACAGAATGCATTCTTGTCCCATGCAAGGCCTTTTGTTGCTCACCATGGGCACAATGACACGTAGTATTACCGCTGGAAGTCGGATTGTTTTGGCTTTTGCCAGCTTCATACAATGCATCCATACATCGCAGCTGTTTCTCCCTCCTGACTTGGCAACCTGATAAGTGGTTTAACTCAACAAAAAAAAAAGAAAAGAAAAGAAAAAAAAACCCAGAATCTGCATTTTCCTCCTGACCACGTAACTGTTTGGACGAGTCGCCTTACATGTCTGGAAGAACACTGAACTCTACTCGGAGGATGTCAGGAGGTTGGACTCAAAAAGACGGAGTGACTTTTTATTTATTTTTTATTTTTACCAGGCCCCAATGAGAGACGCAGCCAATCATCTACCGACAAAAAACACAACGTTTGTACCGAAACATGTACGCAGATACGTAGTCGACCATCACGTAGAGGTCTTAGTGTAGTCGTCTGTTCTTTGTCAGCTCCGGAAAATAAAAAGCTGCGGGTGAAAAGTGAGCTGGATGAAGAGGAATAGAAAGTCAGCTTCTCGCTCTGCTTATGATGGTTAATTGTGAAACAGTAGTCCCAATGATTTATGGGTAATTCTTGCTAAGAAAAATTAGCATTAGCCGTTTAAAAAAAAAATGTTTTTTTTTTTTACTTAACATGTCGGACGATGCTGAAGTGTGGAGAGTAAGAAGAAGGTTTAGATATTTAGCAAACTCACTTTCTGAGTGAACACTGTCGAGCTGCAGCTTCTGATGATTATTCTTTAAAATGGTAGCATTTCATATTTAGCATGCCAGCTAGTTAGCAGCATTCTGGCTGCTTAGTAGTCATTTATGAACACTTATTAGTACCTTACTCTACATGAGTCTACAGCTAACAGGTCATTAGCTAAGAGTTTGCCCTCCATACCTCCTGATTACTGGTTACTGATGCTAAGTCAGGAAGTTGTTGAACGTGATTTATAATCTTAGGCCATGTGTTGCCATGTTTTTTTGTAGGCAGAAAAGTGCTGGCTCTTGCATGAAGCGTTTGTGTGTTGGCAAGAAAAGCGCTGCACATCCGTCCTGTCTCCATGACAAATGTCTGTTGATAACGGCCGCTGTATGACCGACATAGCTTCGTTGCCTTTAAGTGAAAGCTGGAGTAAAAAACGATCTCAAATATAAAACAGACACTTTGGGTACAAGACGCAATCTGTGGGCGCCAAAAATACGGGGAATATCATACATTTGGAAAAGCGCGCCGGTGAAGTCGACAGCGGCTTTGTGAAAAGTCGAAAGACTTGAGCGCTCTTAGTGGCTGCGCAAAAATTGCGGAACACTTGGATTAAGGACGCTGGGTGCTATGCTTCCTCTGGGCGGTCGCCTGATGCTGCAAACGCTCTCTCCTTATTGAATACGACAAAAAAGTGCTAGGTGGACACGATGCCTAAGATCATAATTCATGTTCAACAACTTTCTCACTTCCTATAAATGAGCAGTAATCTGGAGGATGTTGAGAGAAAATGATCTATTAGCTTTAGACTACCGTCATGTAGAGTTAGGGCTCGATCGCCCGTATGCACACGCAGCCACGCTCCGCAGGCGCTCCCCGCTCTTCTACCCCCAGATGTGGCCGATCCTATAGGGCGAAGCGTCTCTGTGTGATCGCACCCTTGAGGTGCTTGTAAGCGCTAAATAACGACCAATAAGCAGCCAGTATGCTACTAATTAGCATGCTAATAAGCGGCTACTAAATGGAGAATATTGTGACGTCTTTTATTTTTTAATCTTAACTAAGTGAAACGATAAGTCCCTGATGATTTCTCAGAGCACACGGTTACAGCTTCAAACGTCTTCAGTTTCAAATATACGCAGCACTTAGGGAGACAAACAGCAACTACTCACATTTAAGAGGCTAAAATGATGAACTATTTCATGTTTTTAAATAAATTTAGAAAACTAGATTTTAAATCAGTCTGTTAATTTTCGGCTACGTGTTTTAGCAATAGAGCAGTCCCTAAAAATAGACCTGCTAGTTGAATTAGTGGACGTACAGAATAACTTTTAAATGCAAACGTTTCCAACAAGCAGCTATCACACTGTAAACAAAGAAACTCTCTTTGGACTCTAATGAGTCTTGTTTTCATGTTTAAAAAAACTCTGCCAGGACAGAAATACAAAAGAGAAGTGTTTAAAATCCAAACTTAAGTTTTCACTCCTCACCTAAAGCTTCATTTTGTAGCCTATGATAAAACTTTTAGTGGTGTTTGTGTGCAGGTGGAGTTCGCCCAGCCGTCATCGACCTGCAGATGTCGACAATTTTGTTTCTTCCTGTCGATTGTTGCTTAAAGGTGACATATCTCCTCCTTTTCAACCAGTTTAAATAAGTCTCAGAGCTCCTCAAAACATGTGTGTGAAGTTTCTTGTTCTAAATCCACTCTGATCCTGTATTTGATCATGTCTATAAACCCCTCTATTTCAGCCCTGCTCAGAACAGGCTGTTTCTGTGTCTGTACCTTTAAATAGGATGGACTTGTATCATCATTTGGGGGGTTTGTAGACAGATCAGAACATGATGAATTTTACATAATATGTGACCTTTAAACGTTGAGGTTCATTCTTCAGCTTGGAAACCACGAGGCCCATGTGGTATAACTTCTGGAGGTTTCAGTCCTACAGCTTGTTCCGCATCAGAAAAAAAAGCCATTAAGTCGAATGCTCAGGAACAAATTAAAAAATGTGAAATGCTGGGCAGAACTCCTGCTGTGGATCATGGGATGTGATGACTCAGAACTCCTCGAATAAAACGTATAAAAAGACCTTCTTCCAAATGAAACACCAAAACTTTTCTACAAACCAGGATGTTATAAGAGACACCAGAATGCTGCTTTTAAATACTTCACACACGTAGATAAATTGAAGCGATCTCCCCATACAGGCGTATCTTAACCGCTTCTTTAGAATAGACCAGACCCTGATGACCCCTTGTGACCCCTCGTGACCCGTGACAAGCGATAAGGACTCCATTAGATTGATTTCCTTGCATTTCTTTTTTTTATTTGTTACATTTTTTCTTGTATTTTCGAGAGGCAAAATGTTTCAAAAAGCCGTGAAAACCAGATTTTTATTTGTTTTTTGAGAAAGAGTCAACCTGGTTTAAATTTCATTCTAACCTGAGTTATAAAGATTGTAAAGTCGGGATGAAACGGCCATATGGAAGCAAAGAAACGTGTCATAATTTAAATTTTCAAAGAAGGTGAATGCTTAAAGATGTCGTTTAAACACAGCTGGATTGAACACTTTGAATTCAGCCCCTCTCTAACTCTCTTTCAAATCAAATCAAATCAAATTAGTTTACGTTTGTCGTTATGTATTTTTGAGACGCTTTAACTTGTTTTTCAGGTTCATGAGTCCACAGGTTTCTTTACCAATCTTCATTGATTACTCTGTCGTTAAACCTGAGCTTAGTATGATTTAAAAACGTCTCTTTTGATTTGTTTTTAATTAACATTTAACAAGTTGAGTTGTTTTTTAAACTAGAGGGCACAAAACTACCTGCTGGAGATTTGGAACCAAAGTTAAATATTTAAAACCGTATTTAGCGTGTTCTACGTCACCTCTATTATTACACGTTTGTCTTTAGAATCAAATTATGAAGGAGACTGTGGTCGAGGGTCTGGCGTTGTAGTACTCTAACTTTTTGAAGGTCTCTGTCTCGTCTAGGAATTGAAAGCATTTTTACTCGGTCTTGTCTCGGTCTCATGGGCAGACTCGGGATTTTAAATCAAGACCAGTCTAAACCAACACTGAGAAGCAATTTTTCCATGTCATAACTGTGATTAGAAATAAAACACTAATTTCTAAAAGAGCAAATTACTTCTAGTGGTGATTTGTATCCCTCGGTTACAGCCGCCATCTTCCTGGTGTTACAGTCTAAGTGAGTGACACGCCCCCTGCACACAAGATGATTATTCTTCAGTGATATTTATGGTCTTGGTCTTGGTTTTGTCTCGGTCTCGGGGCACTCTGGTCTCGGTATGTCTTGGTCTCGGTTAGTGTGGTCCTGACTACAACCCTATGAGGGGCTTCATGGGACATTTCAAAGGTTTAGTTTAAGTTGTTTTTTCTGAGCTGTAAGAAGCAGAAAAACAAACTGTGTCAGTGTAATAACACGTTCAAGCATCATTGACACATGTTCCCCTGAAGAGCAGCCTCGTGCTCATTATTCCAGGAAGTGTTGCGACAGAGTGAATCACCTCTGCACGACAAAACCTTTATGTGACTTTTTGCCCAATCCTCTGGCGACCCCTTCTGGTCAGAGTTGGAACAGCACGCAGAGACAGCGATGAATGAACATCACATCTCTGATCAGCAGGCATAAAACACAGAGACGTCAGATATTTGTTTATGGTTTACTCTGAGGAAAACAAATAAAACAAAACAGGAAGTAAGCGAGGAAAACCCATGTTATCAGTATTTTATTTTTACATTTTTGAGATGGGAATTCAGGAAGACGTTTTTATCCGCTGCTTAATTTTCTAGAAAGATGCTCAACATTTTTGTGTGTAAAATGTCACAAAAGACGATAAATAAAAAATGTCTGTTACAGTGTCCAGAAAAGAAACGGGACAATAAAACATCCGATTTCAAGTCTGTGAATGAAATTGTTCATTTTCTGTAATGACCTTTTAGACTCTAAAAACTTGAACTACAAAGTTCTTTGTCTCTTGAATTCTCATTCACCAAAGCGTCAGCCTTTGCAGACGACCTCAATTATCACTGAAGACTTTAACAGCTCTAGTAACATTTTAAATCCATCCTTAGGTCGCGTTTGTTTCACTCTGGATGGATTTTCTTAGATGAAAAATTATAATAAGATGACATAATAGATTAGAGACACACAACACAATACTCTGTTTACACGTGAAGCCGACGACGTCTAACTGCAGTGAAACTCTGAGGAACTCATCCCTCCATGTTGTGTTTTTTTTAATAATAAAAACTGCTGTTTTAAGTTTGTGTGACACCGGCGACCCTCCTGCTCTGTCAGTGTCATCGAGACGATGAAATGTTGACACCACTACCCTGACACTTAGTCCTTGTTTTAGCTTCGTCTGCTTCAAATCAACAAGAGTAGACGTTGTGTAAAAGCTTTTATGTGGTCACTCTTTCCTCGGATGTAGTTAAGTGAACAATAAGGCTCGACGAATCCCATTAAAAGGTGGAAACCTGTGACGTCTTTGATTGTTTTCTGTTTCTGTCAGCGTCAAACACAGCTTTTGTAAAGTAAACTTGACAAAACTTGGATTTAAATTGATAAAAAGAAGGTTTCATGTGAAAGAAAAGAGACTTTATTGCTGATTTAGACTTGCAACAATTGGAGTCGCTGGTCATTTTAAAGAATGCAGTTTTTTTTAGGTGTTTCTTTAAAAAACTGGAGCCCCTTTCACATTGCCAGTTCAAGGCAGGACTTTTTGTCCCAGAGGTGTAATGTTGGGGCGAAGTTGTTCCTCCCGCTGAGCCGGTGTTCCGTCTTGACGTGCTACCTTGTCAAATGATGCTACCTCTGATTGATTGATTGATTGCAGAGGCTTTTTGTATCCCCTGTCAAATAATGCTCCCAGTACAGAGTCACTTCAAAACACGAGAACTCGCTGCGTTTGCATTGTTAGGAAAAAAGAAGCACGTTTTGCTACTCTATAATAAAACCTTTATTTCAGATTTTAGAGGAAGAGTGTAGAAGCACATCTCGATGGATAGCACTATTTGTTAAAACACCGGCATCACGGGTTATTGAAGAGGTGTAACAGATGTAAAACGGTGGGTTGGAACGGTGCTGTTTTTGCACGTTAAGCTCCCACTGTTTGATCACATGTTTTGCCTCGCTCGCGCTTTTGCAACGACCACTGGGGACAACGGTATCACACAGTTGAGGGTTCAATGTGTCAGTACAAAGGTGTAATGACGAAAGAGCTTCGTTAAGTTGCTGTTTGGGGGAAAAAAGGGTCCAAGAAGCATCGTCCAGCAACGGCCTCAAAAACAATCAGACGTTCTTATCGTTTCCTTTTCTCTCCGTGTTTCACAGAAAGAACGCAAGATGTTTCCACAAGTGCTGCACTTCTCCTTCTAACACCACTTTCTCCTTATTGGTTTTTTCTCTTAAAATACCAAAAACTTGTATTTCTGTTTAATGAACAGCTTCTCTAACGTCCACAATGACATTTGTTTTTTTGCTTCTTTATATCTGAAGATTTATCCAAAGGCATCCGGTCCTTTTCATGATCTTCACCCAAGTACAGTTACCTTTGGATCATGCTTTCAAATGTTTGTTCCTTTTCTGTTTTTGGGTCTCAACGTAATCTTCCTGCAGAATTAAGATGAAAACATGCCGTACGTTTGCCTTTTTCCTTCTAGTGTTTCCAGGTTTACAGACACAAGCTCTTTTAAAAAGCATCAAAAATATGTTTTCTTGCACTCTTAAAAAAGCAGGTGGTGTCAGTATTTCATCCTCCAGTTGTGATTTTTCTCTGAGTCCACTGACATGTGTGGACACCAACTCCAGAAAATCACCGCCTCACTCTTGTAAAAAAATGTTAATTCCTCCTCTTGTGGACGAAGGAGTCGTTCACCTCCACGTGTCATGTAAATGTTTTTTAATATATGTGGCATCATCTCCATCTGTAGGCACTCCTTCAGGCAGGTTTAAGGTAGAATATTCTGAGTTTACTTTCTTCTTCTTCTTTTTGAAATCAGTATTGTATTTATTTAAAAAAAAAAAAAAGACAGTGTTCATGACTGACTGACTGAAAGGCTACACTGGTGAGAGGCGAGATGTAGATTTGTGGACGCTCCGTTTACAAACGCCTTTGGATACTTGACTTCTGTCAATAAAAATGTGAAAAATAATAAAACAGTATTACAGAACAGTCTGGTTTTGTGGGTTTTATTCTGTGTGGTAACACAGCAAGGTCAATGTGTCGCCCTCTAGTGGTTCAAAATAAATCCATGTCAGATTACCACTGATGGGACTTTAGCTTGTATTCTTTTATAGTCTTCTCACTACAGGTCACACCTCCACATTCACACATTGATGGTAGAGGCTGCTGTGGAAAGAGTCCATCAGAAGTAACTCATCCCATTCATACACCACAGACGAAGCAGTGGGGGTAATTGGGGGTTAAGTGTTGTAAGGCGGCTGGTACAGGAGGAGACGCTAGCTGCTTGGAGGTGGCAATAAGCAAAAGTCCTGGGATAGCTGGTTAGCATCAGTCAGACCCCCCCGTCCTATAATAATTCTGACTGTTAGTGTCTTGCCCAAGGACACATCGGACATGTTGCTGCAGCAGCTGGGGATTGAACCCCCAACCAACTCTACCAACTGAGCCACAGCCGCCAGAGTTTTTTTTTGTGTATCGTGTCCTGCCTGCGTTTGCTCTCCATAAGGACGGTTTCCCTGCACACACAAACGCCTGCTGCTGCGTTAGCATATGAAAAAGAGGGGCTTTTCCGGCCAAGTGAGTTTTTGCAATCAGTGGACTCGCCCCCTGCTGGCCATTTTAAAGAATGCAGTTTTTTAAAAAGGAGCCTATTTCACATTGCCAGTTCAAGGCGGGACTTTAACACCTGTTACGCCTCCCCATCAGTGTAAATGTCACAGAGGTGTAATGTTTGGACGAAGTTGTTCTGGGGCGGTGTTAAATCAAGATGTGCTACCTTGTCGGAAAGTGCTACCGCAGCGCGTTCATGTTTACAGTATACTATCCTGCACACACAAAAGCCTGTTGATGCTTGATTGGTCAATAATTCCTGGTTTTTCTTTCTGTTATTCTCCAAATTCTCACATCAAAGTCTGGTCCACCATTTACATCTAAACGGGTTTCCCTGTTCATGGTCGCTGGGGGCTGGAGCCGATCCCAGCTGTCATTGGGCGAGAGGCGATGTACACCCTGGATAGGTCGCCAGTTGACATGTAGAGACACTAATGCTGCACTCAGGTGCTCCTCTAATGTCTCTGTTACAACTTATATTTGAGCTAAACGTTGATGTGCAATACTTAAATTATTTGGAGGATTTCAACATTAACAAAATATCTTTTGCCCCCCGTGTGAAGACGAATGTGACGTCTAGTCGAGCCCCTAATTCTTTCCCCGAGTTTCCAAGTTGTTTGGGATTCAAACCAGGAACGTTCTCGCTGTGAGGAACAGTGCTAACCACTGTATCAGGATAAAAAGATATCATAGCAATCTCTTCCTTCATGACATCAAAAGTCTGGCTGACAGAAAAAAAGACAAATAGAAAAAGTTTCACATTTTAATGATTCTGTTACAGACAAGCTTTTTCATAAAAACAAGTCGCTCGGCTTGCAGGGCATGCGTAAAGATATGAACGTGTGTTTTCACATGTTGAGCGTTTTAAGAGCAGTTTATAGTTCGGGCAGTTTCTCAGAACCATCGTGCTTTCGAGGAAGCAGATTTCTCGCCTGTTTAGGTTTTTCACAAAACAACACTTCACATCTTTTCAGGGGCAAACATCGCTCTTCAAATCGTTACAATGCTTTTTTTTTTTTTTTTGGCAAAATCTGTAATCAACACTGTAAATTATAAATATTTAACCTCTTCTTTGTTACAAAACAGAGTCTGTTAGCTCAATACTGGCCACAAGAAACAAAAAAAACTGTCCTTCATGCAGAGTTTGTGGAGCTCAGTTTACATTGACTTAAAATCAGAGCATGTGAAAAACGATCCAAAAAAAAAGAAAAAGTAAACATGACGCGAGTATAAGACTTTAAGTTGTGTCTCACTGAAATCAACATTAAGGTTTTGATTTCATTTAAATTCTTCCTCTCCTAAATCTGGTTTGTCTCCATTCTCGTGTTCCCATTGAAGAAGGTGCTCTAAGTGCCGAGGGGGAAACACCCACAAACTCGTGAAGCAGAATAAACTTTGGAAGCAGCACTTTTCAAGTCTGGGTGGTTGTGTACATGCAAAGGGTGC